GTACAATTGCATGTCGTAATAAAGCTTGAGTCTGAGAACAGACACCTTCAACCTAAAATATACAGCTGTAACTTCTAGATAATAACTCTATAGAATTCAGAGTAAACTTACAACATCAACGAGTAACAATGCGATATCCGACAGTAATAAAGCTGAAGTAACTTCTGATGAGAAGTCAACGTGACCTTAAATGTCAAACAGCTTAAATGATACTTCAAAACCAACCAAGGAACTTACCAGGGCTATCCATGAGGTTAACAAGCATAGGACCATACAGTAATGAGATTCCACTGGATTTCATCGTGATGCCACGAGTTTGTTCATCCTCGCGATTATCCAGAAATCGTAATTTACCAGCCATTCGAGCTGGAGATCATGCGAGCAAGTTATAATTGAAATATCGAAAGTGGGAAAAGACGCTCAAAATTAAGTAAAAGGAATAATTAACTCCAAAGTGTAGATATTGTTAAAATAAAAAAAAAGCAGTGTAGATCTCAAAGAAAACTCACTAGAAATTATAGCGTTTGTGGATACTAACGAATCGGCAAAGCATGTTTTCCCATGATCGACGTGAGCAATCAAACAAACATTTCGAATTTCGTCTGGCGATTTCTAAATCACGCTTGATCTATGTAAAAATGATCCTAAGATGCGTTGCTGTGATATTTAAGCTATGAATTTTTTAAAAGCTCAAGGCTACACTTTTAATTTATAGATGCGTTAAGAACGACTTCATAATTTTACAACTAAGTGGAATAAATCACTGCTTGGCTAGGATACAAAATATAAAGAGGCGAAACCTACCGATTTTAAACAAATTAAAACAATCTAGGTCGCTTGGCCTTCAAAGTTCCAAAACAACTGCTTCATACAACATTACGAAGTCTGATTTACTACGTATACAGTAGTTCACGAAATGTCGAGTTCAAAAAAAAAAAAAAAAAATACCGTGGCTATTGAGGCTTGCGGGATTTTGAAAGTTGCCGAATAATTTGGCTCGCAACTAACACCAAAACGTTGACTGCATTTGCAATCAGGTGACTGTCAGAGCAAAACTTCATGCATTCTGGTTCTCTAAT